CGCGGGGACGATCCCTCCTTTGGCTCTCCAGTCGGTTTCGTTCTTTCAGTGAGTGGTGGCGTATGGGAGAACCAGCCCCTCTCACATGAAGGGCTCAGCCCTGATGTGGACTTTGAGGCCAGTTCCCACAGGACCAGCCAGGGCCTTGGGGATCTGCCCTAATGCTGTTGTACACTCTCAATAAAGGATTTTACACGCTTTGGGAGCAAAAATGACAAACGAGTTGAACAGAGATGAGTGTCCAGCAGCTGCGTGTGGGGGCGGGGATGGGCTGCGTTGTATAAATGCGGTTCTGAAGGTGCCACTAAGAAAGATCCTGCCCTGAGCCTGTGCGTGCAGTCTCAGTCCCTGCCCCCAGCCCCGGCCCCCATCCGTAGGAGCTGTGCCTTTCGCCTCAGCTATAAATCAGGTGCAGGAAGACTATAGTTAACTAGATCACGGAGGGTCAAATAACCCAGTTTGGGATTACGGGGCTCCCCTCTCCTTCTACTTCCTGCTGTCTGCACCTTGAGCCGAAAGTGGCAGGGGAAAGGAGAGGTCACGCAATATGAAACATTTATTCTTTTGTGCCTGGTTAGCAACTGCCGGGAGAAAGAAAAGCATAGCTGCGGAGGAGGTTGACACAGACAGCTGAGACGAAGTTTGTGGATTATCTGTGGATTTAAATGATCCCCATTCCCTCATTAGCATGGAGAATTTAGGAGCAGGGAGTGTTCTGTAGTCAGGTTGCCAGTGATCTAGGATGTGAGGGGATCATGTTCCCTGCTTGCTCTGCCTTCATTCCTTCAGATTCATAGGGTAAATCCGATGGCCTTTGCCGTGTGGGGAGGGCGGCAGATTTGCCCCAGGTTTTTTCATTGATTCAGCAAGTATTTATTGAGCACCTGCTACGTGCAAGAACTGGGGTTACAGTGCTGACTGGAACAGACATGTTCCCTCAGAGCCTGCTTTCTGGAGGGAGGTTGATGATAAAGAAGAAAAAATAAGCATAAGATTATTATAGATTGCGGCGAGTTACACGAAGAAAAAAGCGGAATGGAAGGATTGTGTAAGTAGGGGGAGCCTGTCTGCAAGGCAACCAGGGTAGACCTTTCAGAAGACGGGATGTTTGAGACGAGACCTAGGGGGTGAGGAGTGAACACTTGTGGGGAGATTGAGGCAAGAGCAGCACCAGTGTCTGGAAGCAAGAAAGGGCTTGGTCAGAGGGAGGCGTGGGAAAGCAGGGTCAGCTCCTGTGAGGATTTGCCCTAATGCTGTCGCCTGCTCCTGCTTTCTCTGTGGATGGTACTCAGATACACACCCCTGTCTTGCTCAAAGTGGAGAGGGATGTTTCACCCTAACCCAGTGCCACAGACAGATACGGACCTTTGGCGTGATCTTGGAGTCCCAGGTGGCCTCAGGATTGGCTCTAGGGAGCGGCCACATTCACTGATAGCAACCTCCCGGGATTCAGGGCAAAGTGTTTTCTCTCCCTATGTACTTCTCTACACCTTGGAGGCCCCGTGAGTACTAGAAAGGGCGTTTTCCCATCAGACCTTGGCTGGGAACGGAGTACCTGCATCATCTGGTGTTTGGGCTCTTTCTTCTCAAAGGACAGGAAGGACACTAGTCATATTGGATTAGGGCCCACCCTAATGACTTCATCTTAATTACCTCTTTAAAGGCTATCTTGAAATACAGTCACATTCTGAGGCACTGGGGTTAGGTCTTAAACATTTGATTTCGGGTGTTGGGGGTAGGGCGTAATTCAGCCCAGAACACGAGGTCTGCCCTGTCCTGCCTGGAAGTATCCAGGGAGGTCTGGGCACCAGGCCAGCCCCCCTCTCGTCCACAACCATATGCTCTGGGATCACTGCCATTTGTGGGTCCTGCCTGACCCCAAGGGCCCCTGGAGCCAGGTCCTCAGGAAAAGTCACCAGACCTGATAGCCCAGGATAACTTTCCAAAAGCCACAGTGTGAGCTGCGGTGAGAGGGGGCACCCTCAGTTGTGCATTTCCTCCTGATGAAGGCTGTTGGGACATCAGGGATTCAGGACAGAGGGTGTCGGAGGGAAGAGAGGAAGGCAGCTGCTCGGGACCAGTAGCCTAGGATCTGGACTGTCTGCCTTCCAGGTCAGCTCTGCTGGGGCTCTCGGAAACCCTGAGTGTACTTCTCTCAACTGACAGAGAAACCGAACCTCAGTAAAGAGATCCCAGCACGACACCGTGGGCAGTGGCGTTGGGCAGGGTGATCGGTGGGTGTAGACGGAGGGCCTGATGTGTCTGGCAGCACGAGAGCACCTTCCTTCCACCCTTGGTCAGGACACTGCAATGAACTGCAGTGATGGGAGTCATGGTCTAAGGCTCAGGGTGACACCTTGGATCCTTGGAGCCCTGTAGACACCAAGCCTTAGGCTGTTAAGTTGGAAGTGACTTTTGTGGGAGTGTAGATCTCTGTCCTTACAGGTGAGTCTCCTGAGGCTCAGAGCGAGCGAGTCACTAACCCAGGGTTACACAGCGTTACTGGCAGGACAGGCTGGAACCTGCATCTCCTGGTGCCCATCTGCGTGCCCAGATCATCTGTCCCTGTCTCATGGCCCAGAGCAAGGACAGTCTGGCTTCTCTGTACCTGGAGACCCTCCAGCCCGCCTTGTTTGTGAGAAACCTAATCCTGCCACCTTCTCAGGACCTTGGGCTTCCGTCTGGTCTCACCTTCCTCTCACTGGAAAAACCATGGGATAGATCGTTTCCTGTGACCAGGTGTTGCCTGCTCTGTGCAAATGGGGTGACCTTTGTGGAAGGGATTGAATTCCGCTGAAAAAAGCGGCTGACTTCCAGGGAAATGGGAGTCACCCAATGAGCTTCCTGTGGTAGAAGATGTTCTGACCCAGACCAAGATCTCAGAATCAAGGAGGCTCTTTGTCTCCTCACCAGATGCCCTGCAAAGGAGAAGACTTCCACTCAACTGAATTCCACATTCTCCCTAACGCAGCCCCGCCCTTCCCCGCACTGCACACGTGTGTGTGTGGGGGGGTGTGTGTGTGTGTGTGTGTGTGTGTGTGTGTGTGTGTGTGTGTGTGGTGAGGTTTGAGGGAATACAGCAGAATCCCTTTGGTTTTCTCTCCCCATGGGCCAAGGTCTGGGGCTTCCTTTGTAACTGGCGGGTGGATCGGACCCCCTTTCTTTGACACTGCTTATCAGATTCCTTTGTCCCAGACTGTAGAAGAATCCACTGTAGGGCGCTGTCATCTATCACTTCTCTCCAAACCTTGATATTCACCCTTCTTGGCATAGAGGGATAATTTGGGCTCTTCCTTATTCATGGGATTTTGGGAAAAGTCCTTATTTTGAGTGCAATGTGAGTCTGTCTGTGAGGATTATATTTGGTCACGCATAACAGAAAATCCACATAGCCTTTGTTTCAACAGGTTTAAGCATGCATTTCTCCTCGCAGAATGAGAAGTACAGACAAGGCGTCTAGAGAGGATGTGGGCCTCAGTGACACCCTCAGTGACTGGCCCTCTCATCCCCCATCCCCCACATGGCCTCCCTCTGCCTGTGATTTTTCTTGCCGGTTCATGTTCTCCTCCTCTGCGTGGTGGTGCCAATTTCACAGGCTGGTGTGAAGACCAGAGGGGACAACTGTATGAGAATGTGGATGTGCTCAGGTGTTCACAGGCTTCTGGTGGTGGCGCTCTGTTGGAGGAATGCTCCGCCTCTGGTGATGGTCCCTCTGCCCTGGAGGTGACCTGACTAGGTCAAGGCCCCCCTTTCACCCTATGGGACCCTGATGGCTTCTCATCCTGGAACAGTGATTTGTGTGGAAGCACATCAGCCTGCTGCTTCCGTTAAACCAGGTCAAGGGGCCAATTGGTCAGAGTCTTTGCAGAATCTTGGGAGAAATATTTGGAAACCAAGCAGTAAAATACCTCCTCATTTAATCAAAGGATGGGCTTATAGAAAGTGCCTGCTGCACAGAGCAAGCCCAGCGCCCTGCCATCACCAAGGATGGCCCTCAGCACCAGCTGACCTCAGCTGGTGCCTGGCTCCTCACTGGTAGCACACCAGCCCGGGCAGCTGAGAGGTCCCCAGCTGTGAGAGGGACTCCCATTGCTGGCTCTGGGCCAGCTTCTGCCACGGTGAAGATGCCCTGAATCAATAGTGGTGCCTGTGAGTGACTTGTGTCTGACTCTTTAGTGACTGAGCAACCTTTGGTGACTTCCTTCCAGTCAAGACCAAGGATCCTAATGGAGCACAGCTGTGTTCTATCAGCATCGAGGGGAGGACATCTTGGCTTGAATCTTAGCATTTCCAGCAAACTTGTGAATCAGGCCAGAGGGTGTTAGCTGGCAGGAGCCTTAGGAGTCTATATGCAACTGGTACCCACATCAGGGGCTCAGGATGGTGGGGTCCTGTGCTGTGGCCCTCTGCTTTCGTGTGGCCGACTTAGAGATGCTGCCCATGCTTGATCGCCCTTCCCATCACAGGGATGGATTTAAGAGGCCAGAGGGAAAGGTCAGCGGTCTTCTCCAACCGTCTCCTTACATCATCATCTGTAGCTTGCATCAAGGCTGGGTCTTTTCTTACTGAATTAAAAAAGAGAAGAAGAGCTGGCAGGGGTGCAGCAGTGAGAACGCACAAACTTTCCCACTGAGAGAAGGTTCACCTCTCAATTCTAACTCCTCCATTTGTGATCAGACTTTGCATTCCCGAAAACATATATGAAGGTCGGCCTTCCTCTAGGCCTTTGGAAGGGCTCCCCCGCTTCACTTCCTGCTGCCAAAACAGTCCTTTCAAGTCGGTCCACTCTGATTTGCATTTCCCCTTTCCAGGTAGGCAGGTGGCCAGTTATCAGAGCTTCTGGAATGTGTGTACGGGCTTGGCTGGGCCTGCTCCCCCATTTCTGCTCTTCCCCCTGGGGTGGGGTCCCTGGGGTGCCCCTGGGTGGGGAGGGCCCCTGAGGGTGGGCGTGCACTGGCCTCTTCCCACCTTCTGACCTTCCTTTTGTGTATCTTCCACAGCCTGTGATTGCCACCCCGTGGGTGCTGCTGGCAAAACCTGCAACCAAACCACCGGCCAGTGTCCCTGCAAGGATGGTGTGACGGGCATCACCTGCAACCGCTGTGCCAAAGGCTACCAGCAGAGCCGCTCTCCCATCGCCCCCTGCATAAGTACGTGCCAGGCACCCTCTTCCTTGAGGCTCCGGCTTGGGCGTGGGTGTTGGGGGGGCCCTTTCAGCTCATTGACATCCAGTGGGCATAGTGCTCACTGAGGCCCCTTGTGAAACACTCAAGCCTATGGGGTTCTTGCAGAAGCAGCCAGGGCCCAGCAGAGCCAGCCTGTTTGTCCTGACACAGAGTGAGTCTTCTGTTCCTGGGTGGACACAAGGCCCCCTCCTCAGCCCAGGTCCTGTTCCCATACGCCACCTTGAGTGCAATGTGAGCCTGGACCCGGGGGGGCCTGCACCAGGGGCTACCATTGCTGCTATGAGAATTCCAACTCCCCCTGCCTCTGGAAGATTCAGAACAGAGGGACTGATACCATATGGCCTTTGAGGGAAGCTGGGCAGGGCTCCCTTGCCCTTATGAAGTGTGGGAGCATCCCCGAGGGTCCTGAAGGCCCCATCAGGCTAGCTGTTACCCCTAGATGCTAGAACTTGGGGAGGGGATGAGCAACGTTGCAGGGTCACTCAGGGGCCTTGGCTCAGCCAGGCTTTACTATCTTACAACTGATAGGATCACATAGGTGTCATGAGGGGAGAATTAGTCTTGGGCGAAAGTCAAGCCTGGTTGAGAGCTGGCCCCGGCCTCAGCCTCATCGATTCCTTGTGCAAGACAGGTCTAAACCCAGCAGGTGGGTGGAAGAAGGTGCCGATCCCAGCTCATCAGGCAGACCTTGGGATACAGTCTGCTTCTCTAGAGCTGAGTTAGCACACCTAGCCTGGGAGGTCGGCCCACTGCCTTGTTTTATATGGCTTGATTTTTTTTTTTTTTTTTTTTACCTCTTTAAAATGATTGAAATAAAAATTAAAAAATACTATTTCATGACATGTGAAAATGATATGAAAGTTCAGTGTCCATAAGTAAAGTTTTATGGGGACACAGCTGTGCCTGTTCGCATGCTGCCTATGGGTGCTTTTGAGTTCCAACAGCAGAATTGAGCAGTTACAACAGAGACCGTGTGACCTGCAGAGCCTGAAACATTTACTAGCCGGCCTTTGACAGGCGAAGTCCGCTGACCCTGCTTTAGGGTTTTAGTGTCCCTCAGCACTGGGAGGGCACTGGCTTTTCCAGTCAGTCCTGAGGGACTTGGAACAACCTTAGGCACAGCAAGAGGCTGGGGGTCCTTGGAGCAGTCCCACCTACCTTACAAGGAATCCCCCCACACCTACACTGGCCTGAAACACACTATACCTCACCTGCCTGAGCTGGGTGTGGCCTTCACTCCCAGAACATATTGGGCTGCATCAGTTTCAGCAGCTCTTCTGACAAGTTTCTAAATCAGGAGACATGTCCGCAGGGGTCCAGTAACACAGATAACCAAAATCTCGGCTTTGGGAGATTGAGCTCTATGTCCATCCAGGGCAGAGCAAGGTGAAATGGTTTTGATGAAAACTTCTAATTGTCAGAGTCTAACAACTTGCAAAATTTTTTCTTTTCCATCTGTCCAAAAAGCTGCAAAGTGAACATTTTTAGCACACTGGGAAGAAATCAGTGCTGCCATCTGGGGTTATGAAAAAAGAGGGAGAAAAAACAGGTTCTCTCTTATAAAGGGAGTAAGGAGCTGTCAGGTTGCTCAAAAATGGCGGGAACCAACATTTCCATTGGCCTGGGGGAAAGACCTTGAAATGGAACTATGCTTCAGAGTCAGAGACAGAGACCTGGGAAATGGAAGTTCTCGCTGCCCAACTTGCTCTGTACTTTCTTCGTCCTCTCGAAGGGCCGGCTGATGCTGGGCGCGAGTGTTCCCACCAACAACCTGAAGACCTGAGTCTCCATCCTGGGATTTCCGTGAGCTTTTCCTGAGGGCATCTGGCTATAGGCGCCACAGTGCTGAGGGACTTGTGCCCTGTTTCATCACAGCTCTGTAAGCCACATGCCCTCTGCATACACCCCTGTGCCAGGCCTAAGGCACTGCGGTTGGGCAGCCAATGCGGCTCCATGGCCACTGGCCTCAGCCCTGTTTGTGAACTTGCAGGATTAGACCAGACCATTCAGAGGTTCCCTCTGCAATGTTTCTGCTGGGACCAAGTAGCTCATCATGAGGGCTAAGAGAAGTCCTGATACAAAGTCCAGTTTCTTAATGAGCTGCTGTGACAGGGCCGAGAGCAAGATTTGCCTCCAAATGGACAGCTGGGTCCTCTGTCCATTCCTTTTGGGAGGTGCAAAGGCTGGCTTCTGTGGGTGTCTCTCAGATTTGCCCCTGGCCTAAGAGTGTTCCATCTTTATCCATCAAGGTTCCAGTCGAGGTGATCTAGAGTCTGAGGATCCAAGGGAGGTCTTACCCTCAACAGTCAGATGGTGGCCAGAGTCAGTGGGGCTCGTGAAGGCCTCTGTGACCCCATTTTCATGTGGTCACTCATCAGGGGAGGCGAGCCCTTGCCCCTCATGGACTTTTGGTCCATGCTTAGCCTTCATTCAGAAAGAGGAAGCTGGAGCTGTGACATTTGGTCTTTGCAAGAGACTGGTTGAACCCTCACCTTTTGGAAGCACAGATTCAGAGCCAGGAGCTAGAAGGCACTCATTGCCATTCTAGATAGAAAAGGAGTGATCCCAATAAAGTAGATGCTTCTTCAGGCCCCTCGATCTTCTGTATTGTCAGTCTGTTCTGCCCACCGAGACAGTGCCTTAGCTTGTGAGATGCACCTGTGAGAATCTGAGCCAGGGGTGCAGACCCTCTCTGCACGTGTAAGACACCTCCCAGCCCCCTCACATGCCACACCTGCCATGAGCACCTTCCACACCAGTAGGTCAAGGTCAGAGGTGGGCAGGGCCCAGGCAGCCACATTGCGATGAGCAGGGGCCATAGGAAGGCCCCTCTCTACCGCCTCAGGCTGAGCCAAGCTGTGGGTACACAGAGCCAAGCACACGCACCTGGCAGGCCCCCACTAGGGAGCAAGGCCAGCTCTTCGTGCTATCTGTCCCTCCTGCCTTCTCCCCACTCCAGTCCCTTCCTCAACAGCCAGGAGCATCTACGTCTCTGCCAGGTGAAAGGACAGCTCCACAGAACAAGGGAGAATGCTGGGCCCCCATGCTGGCTTGGCTTTCTCCTCCCTGACTGTCCTGGTGGCGGGGGCGTTGAAGGGGTGGGCAGGAAGGCTGGGAGAGGTCTGTGCTGTGCTGATTCTTTTGTAAGGTCAAAAGTAACATCTTTTCTTTTTTTTTTAGTAACATCTTCTTACCTTGCTTTCTCTTCCTCCCATCCTGAACCTCACAGAAATCCCCGTGGCACCGCCGACCACTGCAGCCAGCAGCGTGGAGGAGCCAGAAGGTAGGCCCTTCCCCTTCTTGCTCATGTCTTGCTTTTGCTGTGGTGTGGGGTGGGCAAGGGAGGGTGATTAGAGGAACCGGAATCCTCTGAACCACCATTGGGGTGCTGCTCAGTGTGAGTGATACCCCTGGGTTGAATTGAGAAGGATCGAGCCACAGGGCATTTTTCTGTGAGGGCCCCTTCCAAGAATAAAAGGGAAGGGGTTTATTATTGCCTGTGGGCTGCCTCTCTCCAAAGCCTGGGACCTTTGAAGCTGCGCTCCTCCTCCTTATCCACCAAGGGTGAGAAACCTCTTGCCAGCCCAATACCATCCAAGTCGAGGGGTGGGGATGGCGTGTAACTCCTTCCTGGGGCTGCGAAGTAGGAAAAGGATGGGTGGCTGGGACGAAAAAGGCATTCTTGAGCACGAGAACAGAACAGGGGGCCATAAACGGACACTGGGTTAGAGAAGGGCTAGGAACTGGGACTGGAAGAGAATCACACCGTCACTGTCTCTCACTGAAATTGAGCATTTCCTCTGTTGCAAAGGTGGGCCACAACCACAGCAGGGCCAGCGGCAACTGTGACTTGGCCACCAGCAGAAATCACAGCTATTTTCACATCCCGTTAAGAGTCGGTGCAAATAACATGAAATATTGTTGATGCTTGCTATTTCTTCAAAAGTATGGAAGTCATCAGACCCCCTGCTAGATCCTGATTTATAATCATTAATAAAGAAGCACATACCTTATGTAACGACTATAAATATTGGTTTTCAAAAATATTTGGATAAGTGTATTTCAGTATTATTAGCTTCCTTTGTAGTCGTATGTATTTTATTTTCATATTTAAAAACATTACTGTGAGAAAGGGTCCATGGGTGTCGCAAGTCCTTGGCACAAGAAAGGTTACACAGGGTTGGAAGCCTGGTTTCATTGGGTGCCACATGGAGAGCAGGCCAGGCCTGTATCCTGGGGTCACACAGGGCTTTGTGTAGTGGTACTTGGAGAAGGAGTAGGAATGGGAAGCAGAAAAAGTGACAGTGGGGCCTCTCATAGGCATCAGTGCCAGCTCTGGGGACTTCTTTCCTCCTCTCCAAATAGGATTGTAGGGAGGTGTGGGGGAGGCTTGCATACCCATGCAGTTGCCGGAATATTTTAGAATAAAGACTGAATTTTTTTAGTATTGGCAGTATACTGCGAACTTGAGAGAAAACACATTTCGAACTTGCATATATACAGTCAACAAACAGCCCTTAAATAAGAAAGGACAGAGAAACATTTCAGGGAGTGCTGAGGCCACACTAGGGATATTCAAAGATGTTTTTGTCTTGGATTGTTAGGTAGTCTTCAGTCAACTTTGGTTGAGCTGCAGTGGACATTTAAAGGAGAAATAGTGATGAGAAGGAGCCAGAGGAAGAAGCATCACAGCAAGCACCTGGGAGGCAGGATGACAGAAGCCAACATGGGGGATGAGGAAGCTCTTTCTGTAAAAATAGAATTTAAAGAAACATTCCCAATTAATTCAGCTCTAGGATAGAGCAGTTTTGAAATGAGAAGATACTTCCATTTAATGGTGTCTTGACTCGTGCTGTTGCAGAAAAGATCCAAAATCAGACCGGCAAGAAACCAAGCAGCACTCAGAGAGTTGGAGAGTTTATTATGCTGGTAGTCTCAGAGGAGCTAGGGCTCTGAAGATCTGGACCAACTCAGTTGCAACATTCCTTATATAGACCCTTTTTGGCACAGGCTGATTGGTTAATTTGTCCTCAGATCTTTAAAAAGCAGTGCGAGTTGCTATGGCTGCAGGTAGTTACAGTGCATTACAAAAGGTGGGAGTTGCTATGGGTTACCTGCAGTTACAAAGTGTTACAAAGCCCGGCAGTTGCTGAGGGTACAAACAGTTACATTTGTTGCTTAGCTCAAACAAAAGGGAAGGTGAGTCTTTAGTCAAATTGGAGTACAGCCCATGCAGCAAGCATATTTACAGAAGCAGAACAGAGAGCTGATTAGCCTTTTGAATGAAAATTCCTCTTCAGTGCTTCCATGATGTGACATCAGTCACATCAGAACTCACCTGGACAAGCTCTTTGGGCTGTGCACACAACTAATCCAAGGCCATGACGGATCTTCATCATCTCTTTTGACTCCCATTTTTCTAGTCTTTGCAGCTTGACTTTAGGTTTCTTGCAGTGTTTTTTTTGTTTGTTTGTTTGTTTGTTTTTTCCCTTTCAAATCAGAAATGGGCAAATGGGAAAAAAAATAGAGGGAAAAAGTAAAACAACTCATGAGATTTCTGTACAGGCCACAAGAAGCTGGTATAAAGCATGCAAACAGACAAAAGAGTCCTGAGCAAGTACTTACAAACACTTACAGAATCCTACTTTGAAAAGTCTTCCTTAGCAGTTCTTAGTTGATTAACTTCTCTGACTCTTGGTTTTGTTACTGTTTATTTCCTTTCTTCCTTCTGAACCTTTAAAAACATGATTTAAATAGGAGCAAGCAGTAAATAAACACCCTCACAAAGTGCTTTGCTCTCAGAGGAACTAAGCGAGCAGGTGTGATGTTTGTAGCTTTGGCCAGGCCCTTTTGGAACTTCTCTGGTGGTCTGTGGATGCCCAGGATCTTTGCTGCTCGCACTGCAGAACTGGGGCCATGCCACCACAGAGAGGCTGGGCTTGCCTTGTCTCAGCAGGCGGGATGGTGTGGGCAGGAGGCCAGGGGCCCCCTGGGAAGTTGGGCCTGGGAGCTCGGTTCTTCCAAGCCTGTCGATTCTTGCAGTGTTTGAATAGGGAAGCCCTCTGTGCCAGGCTGCCTGAGAAAAGCTTATTTACTTTTGCCTGTGTAACAGAGGAGAATTAATAAACCGAGAATTTGTCCTGAAAGCTGATGGACATAACCTCACCCTGAACCCATCCCCTTGCAAGGCCAGCTCACTCAAGGAATGCTATCCACCTGCTGTCTGAGCTGGCTGGGACCCCATCATGGGGCGGGGAGGTGGGAGGTCTGGAGCCAGGGGCCCAGGAGGGGAATGGGCTGGAATGGAGATAGGGACCACCCACTCCAAACCCAGCTACTTCTGATTGTAGAGACCTCCACCCCTAGAGCTAATAGAGAGGGCCCCCCGTTTTCCCTTGGCCTCCATCAGCTCTGTGGTGGTTGTTGATTTGCATGTTGTTTGGGTTTATGGAGGCCTCTTGGGAGGAGCCCCGGTTTGTAGCCAGGCGATCTGGGGTTGATTCTCCACTGGCTGTGAGGCCTTGGACGTGCAAAGACTTCTCCTTTCTGCATCCTTTGAAGAATGAAGGGGTGGGACCAATGGTCTTCTGGGTGGGGGGGACCTCCCCACCCTGCTTCTTGTGGTGGGAATGACCTACTGCTAAGCTTTTTTCCTCTTCAGAAATGTCTGCTCACTCTTCTCTGCCGATGATGATCTGCTTCTTCCACAGTTCCTTACAGAGGCTCTGTGGGCAGAGGTGCTGGTTAGGTAATTAACACCTGGCTGGGGGGAGGGGGAGATGATCGCTAGCATTTACCACTTTCCCTTGTGTAAACACTCCCTCCTGGCAGGTTTCAGAAGAGTTAGGAAGAGATGGTTATAACTGGTTCTCAGGGCCAGTGTATGCAGACTCCACCCAGCACTGCCCGTGAGCCTTCCCTGAAAATGGAGTGTTGGCAAAGGAACACAGAAATCTAGAAGGAGGAAGGGCCACCTCTCAGCGGAGGTGAGGCTGTTGGTCATTGCTGGCCTCCTTGGTGTGAAGGGTCTCGGCAGTCTTTTGAGTGGAAGCTGAACTCAGGTTGGAGGTACGAGAACAAGGAGCCAACTCCTGGGTGCTTCATCTCCCAACAGGATCTCGAGTCCTCTTTCCTGGCCCTGTCTTCCCATGGCACTCACCCTGTTTGGGGCCCTACGTGGTACCTTCTGCTAGCTGCTTCAGTGGACCCAGTCTGAGTGTGGAGGTGACCTTAGAGATACCATACCTGGTGGCCTCTCAGCACCTCCATTTTTTTTTGTGGAAGAAAATGGGGTTTATATAGACCTGCGACCTGGATGAACTCAGATTATTCTCATTTTAGACTTTTGTTTTCCAAGATAGATAACAGGCTGGGTAAGTGTGGGAAACAAGTTGATAAGACTTCAGTGCATATTGGCCAGGTACTGGGGGACAGGATGCAGGGGAGGGAAGGGCATTGAATTGGGAGTCTGAGTCCTGAGTTCTGCCTGATCTTGTTTTCTTCTCTGTGAAACTGGGTAATGATAATCCTGCCTCACAGGGTTGTTTTGAGGATTAAATGGGATGATTCAGTGATGGGCTTATCATAAGTGCTCAATAAAAAACCAATGGACCATCAAGGAAAATATAAACATCACAGTGCATCACGGATGAGTTAAAGTCTCTGTTGGCTCCTCGTCAGGAAGGTGAGTTTTTCAGCAGATGTCAGCATGAGGATAAATGTGGAGAGTCAGCTAGATAGAAAATTCTTGAGGAGACCTTGGGAGGGAACAGGTGGGGCTCCCCAAGGCCAAGGCAGCTGAGGGAACTGCTAGTGGCCTCATCACAGCCATCCTAGCAGCTAATGTTAGACCCTGAATCCAGCAGAGTTGAAAACTGGAAGTCGAAGGTCAATGCTTGACTTCATAATAGCCAAAATGTGGAAACAGCCCAAATGTCCATCAATGGAAGAATGGATAAACATAATGTGGCGTATCCATACAATAGAATAGTATTCAGTCATAAAAAGAAATAAAGGACTGACCCATGCTACAACTTGGATGAACCTTGAAAACATTATGCAAAGTAAAAGGAGCCAGACACAAAAGGCCACAAAGTATATGATCCCATTTCTGTGAAATGTCATGAATAAACAAATCCAGAGACAAATTAGATGAGTGGATACCAGGGGGTGAGACAAGGGAGGAATGGGGAGTGACTGATGGGTACAGGGCTTTCCTTTAGGGGTGATGGAAAAATTCTGGAACTAGATCGTGGTGATGGGTTCTACAGCAGTGTGAATGTA